GATGAAAATTCAACGCGAAGTAGGTTAATAGCGATATACTAATATACTAATTACATGGAATATAATAATATACTACACTAATAATGGATTTTTTCATACTTTTCGGTTATCCAACTTTTCAATTATCCGACCAACCCCAGTTCCCAATTGAGTCGGATAATCGATGCTCTACTATATATTAAAACTTAATTTTAAAAATTCTTTTACAGAAGCCCCTAAAATACATATTTGGACAAGGATTGCAGGTTAAGGAAGTAATTTTGAAAGCTAAAAAAAGGACCCAATTCAACTAATTTGGATTTAAAATAATTTTATTTAATTAAATATATTTTGATAAATTATATAAATTAAATAACATCGTTAAATTCAATTTATTGCCAACTTTCTGGTACAAAAAGAGAAGTCAATGCATCAGTGAAACACTGTTGCTAAGATAATGATTTGAAAGAATTTACATACAATATAGTCTACTGTATTTGTTCAATAAAAATGTTAATTATTTTCAATTGTATTTTATAAATATTTTGATATTGATTTCTTTTAATAATACAAAGTAAATAAAAATAAATAATAAAAAGTATTTTGTTATAAATATTTGCCAAAATTATGTACTAAATTTTAAAGTCGCACTGACTAAGAAAAAAAAACGCTGAGTAGTTCCCCTCATTACATCGCCTCTACCTATAATTAGCTATAAGTGAGAGGAGGTTTTATTCTTGAACCCTGTCTTTTCTCTATAACTATTCTAAGTCTTTTCTGAAATAATGTCAGCAAGCTTTTCGCTTGTCGGCATATTTTAAAATGGTTTAAACTCTGCTGCATCCCATCTTTTGCAGATTAATTGTGAAAAATACATTACCAGCATTTAAAAACCACCATTCAATCAGAAAAACCTAAAAAATGTAGAGATGCAACAAGTACCTAAAACTATTTTAAATTCGACAACTGCTGGTTCACGCATACAAAGGTATTTTTGGCAAAAATACTGCTGTAGAATACATATCTGAAGAATCAACGATACAAAAATGATGTTGACCAAGTATATAGAAACTGTAACTGTAACTGAAACTGTAGTGACGAAATAAAGAAACAAATTGAAAATAATTATACAGTAATACCCCGAACTTACGCGATAGGTGGGACCGAGTGATAACCGCGTAAGTCGGGGTATAATATAATTTCGCAATTTGTGTAAAATTCAAGTCGGATGTATGTAAGCTAATAAATGTTCTCGTTAATCTTATCTCGTTTTGATTCGTTCACGGTTACAAGAAATCACCACATAGAGTCTCTCAAGTCTCCGTAGATATAACAAACACAGAAATAAATAACAGAATAAATTGTAACCGTGTGTCGATTCCGCGCGACACGTCCGAACATATAAGCTCAACAATAGTGTGGGTGAAGTGAATAATCAAGAGTTGCGTGGCGCTCAAACAAAGACGAATCGACGAGATTTGAAATCGCGTAAGGCCAGGAACACACATGCGTAAAATTCGGCGTAAAATCTAGCATAAAACAGAAAACGTAAAAATTTTTCTGAAGTTTTGGCTGAAACAAAACTGAAAATAGAGTAGAGCATGTCTCTACTTTTTACGCCGAAAAATTTTTACGCCAAAATTTCTCCAATAAAGAGAAGTCTTTCCTGTGACGTCGAAGTAGACACGTGGTTTTTATTCTAACAATGGCGGCAATGAGGGTTAACCCTACAATTGTGATGGTCTCGATAAAACGAAAAATAAATGAAATAGAGGAGTTTATTGAATCCGTTCGACCAAATCAGTGTCATGTATAAAGACACTGTATTTAAACAACGTTTATGGATGGCTACAGGTGTTAAATTTCAAATAACAGGTAAGTCTAGTAGAATCGATATATAGGCCTAGTATTTATATCACACTTTCTTTATTTGAATTTGGAATACGAGTCTATTAATTTAAATTTTCTATATTATAGCAGAGGAAGTGTAGAAAAAATGGAAGGTACAAAGGGATAGATAGCCTATATGAGAGGAAAAAATTAATAAAATTAGTACTGTTGGTGGCAGTGGTGTTTTCTATTCGGCCAGAATTTTTACGTATGTGTGTTCTGGCATAAAAGCGTAAAACAGAAACTGAACTGAAAGCTGATTTCTGATTCAGTTTTCTGCCACACAATTTTACGCAAGTGTGTTCCTGGCCTAACTCCGAGTTCGCGTAAGTCGAGGTATTACTGTACAGTGAAAACTGCTTAGGCGACCACCTGCATTCGATGGGCACCTGTCAAAATAGGCAAAAATTTCTGGCACCAAATACATAGAATCTTCATATATCTTGTATTAAACGACCACCTGTGTAACGCGACCGCGGGCATCGATGTTTGGTCCGAAACAACATACAACAACTGTAATAAGCGACCACTTCCGCGAATATATCTGGCCTAAACTATTGCTCAACAACGTTTCCCCTTTCCTAATATAATGAACTACTCTAAACTCTCGTTCGAACCCACCTCGGGCACTTCTCTCACCCTTGAAATTAGGTGCAGGTGTTAATGAATTAGTCTAGCAACAAAGGAATTCATTTCAGTTTGTTCGAAATTGTCCGAAAAACGAAAGAAATGCAAAGTGCTGTCGTTAGAAGATCGTGTTAAAGTTATCACAACAGTAATTAGCGGTGAAGTTTAACTGTGGGAAAACGAAATTGATTTTACCGTAGACCTACAGTATTTTTCTTGGGGTATAAAATATTGTACACGATACAATTAATCGGCTGATCTCATCGTTTGATAAAATTTATTTTCATTTATTTATTTTGAAGCTCATATACTGTACATGTGTCATAAATAGTTTCTGTATCAACCTACCTTATTAACACGATATTTTTAGAGCAATAATATCCAAGTAATTTTCTCAGGCAAAATATTCAAAAGCAATAACGCAGAAATCAGTTTTACAGGCAACCTTCCTTTTTCGATTCCGCAATGACAATTGTGGAATGTAATGAAATCGTATAATGAGAAAAAATAAAATAGTTTTATTATTAATTAATAATTTTTCTTATTGTACTTAAGAAAATATTAAATATATACAGTATTTTTAAAGTTAATATAAGATTAAAGTAACAAATACAAATACCAGTGATGTAGAGATACGACGCGCTTGTATATCGATGACGTAATACACGTAACTGAGGAGTGAACGAAAACAACCGAGTCGAATTAATTAATTAAGTCGGGAAAAAAGAAAGTGTGCATTATAATCGAGAAACTGCGACTATTGTATTAATCTTTAAAATATTGGTATTAAATCTGTCTTATAAAATCACGACGACTCCTGTAAATCGGGTTATCCGAAAAGAATAAAATATAATAGCAATATAGCCCTATCGTCGAAAAATTCGTTTATTTTTGCTCATTTCGCAAACCAGTTTATAAAGTGTATAGTAGAAATTAGAAAGATAACCTCAGAGATAACAATAGAGATTTTAACTTGCTTAGTAGAAATGGATAAAGAGTGCCCAAAATACGGTATTTGACCCGTCCATCCCGCTAGATGGCGGGCAGTTTTAATAGTTTTTTTTATTTAATGTTTAATATTATTGGAGAGTTGGCAACACCAAGCTGGTGGTGTTGAGTGACAAAAAGGCGCGAGAATATAGAGCGGGACGCTCTTTCCTACTGAATCATTGTATATAGAAGGTTTGTTGGTTTTGTGTAAATAAAATCAAAAAGACAAATTTGGTGAACTTTTCTTTGGTTGAAGATACGACGGGAACCTGGAGTACGAACGAGACGGTCAGGTGAGACTTACGAAATTAATTTACTCATCACCAGAGACAAGAATCGGCCTGACGCGACATAATGGCGCCCGAATAGGGACTCAGGTTACCCGAAGCTATTGTATAGATAAATATTCTCCGATTGTTCTCTGACATTGTTTACATTTGGAAACACTCACTTAATGTGGAAAGTGAGTGATAATTGAAAGATTTGGTGGAAATACATCTCAGATTTTTTCCATTTGAACTTAGATCGAGGTTCTCTCTATGTCTATCCTTGTCTACGTTTGTTATTTGGATTAATTAGTAAGATTTACGTAATGGAGCCCTCGATCAGACTACGTGGATCCTACCGAGGCGCTTTCACAAAGTTCGTTACCAAGGTACAGGATTTTTTGACGTCGAAGGTTGAGGATTTCGATTTGTGTGCTGGGTTTTTGGCCCAGTTGAAAGAAAAATATTCTAAAATAGAAACCATCGACAAAGAAATATTAGATAAGTTACAAAAGGATGAGAAGTGTTCTCAACAGATGTTGGATGAGGAAATTGAGGGTATTGAGAATTACAATGGTACATTCGTAGACTTGAAAACAAGACTAGAGCGCCGTTTGAATACGTCGAAGGAGCTAGATGAAACACGAAGTGAAAGCGAAGCCGGCTGTTCTAAGGGAAATTTTAAGCTACCAAAGATTGAATTGCAAAAATTTGATGGCAATTTGAAAAATTATCTTTCCTTTTGGGGACTATTTAAGAAAATACATGAAGATCCCAATATTTCGGATTTGGATAAATTTCAATATCTTATTCAGTCGACTCTGAAGGGCTCAAGGGCCAGGGAAGTAATCGAATCGTTCCCCGTAACAGCCGAGCATTACCCTCAAGCAATTGAGTGTTTAAATTCGCGTTTCGGAAGAGAAGATGTGCTCATCGAGGTTTACGTGAGAGAACTCCTGAGTCTAGTGCTAAATAATGCGTTAGTGCAAGAGCACAAATTGCCAATTGTGAAACTTTATGATCGTATCGAGACACAACTGCGATCCCTTAAAATGCTTGGTGTTACTACGGATAAGTGTGCTTCAATGCTTTATCCTTTAGTTGAATCTAGCTTACCGACTGATCTCCTGAGAATTTGGGAAAGACACCTAAATTCGATGCNCGTTTGGTGCGCTGCTCCGCGACGAAAACAAGCTTAAGCAATGGCGACGTCGAACGGTGCACACTCGGTAAGTAATCCTACAATTTTTTGTTTATAGCGTAGTTTATACGATTATTCCCAAAAAATTATACGTATTTTGGAAATGTTAAGTCGAATTAGTCTAGAATCGATTAATTTTATGGAAGAAAACCTTTCAAACAGCCGTAGTCCGTAAACTTCACACGTGTCGGGCTGCGATTGGCTCATGTATTTAAGGATTCCTACAACGTGAAATTCTTATAACATGGAACGTATCTACGCGTTATAGGGGGGGTTCTACTGTATATAATCTTAAATGTATAGACTATTATTGTCAATTTGTTTATTAGGAAAATTATAAATACAATTATTGGCTTTTTTTAAATGACAAAAATAGTTGTTCTGTAACTGTAGGAATTTTGTCAAGCAAATTAATGTAACCGAGTTCTCTTTTCAGCTTTCAAAATTAGTTCTTTCACTTGTAGACCTTGTCCATAATAATGCTTTAACGGTTTCTGTAAAAAAAAAACGAAAAAATGTATAAATTTCGTTATTAAACCACTAAATAAAAATAGTTGCGAAGTAAATTTATAAAGGTTGATTAACTTTTCTATTTTTTGTTCACTGTAACAATTTGAATTTGGTGATACATATAATAGTTAAGAATATTGTTTCCTAATAAATTGCTATCGTCAAAATGATGACATCACTTTGAATTTTGTCCACTAATATTTCAAAAACGTTTAACTATAAAAAAATTATACGATTTATATCGTATCGAAATTTTTTATCGAAACTGGCCCCGATTTAGGTCTTAGAAAACGGAAAACTCCATGCTGCCAGCTTATTGGAGAGTCGCGAACCCACATGCCAACTACAATATTTGCACTAAACATTTAATGTTTTAGTGTTTTTATTCACTCGGCAACTGAGAGGCCAGAATACAAAATGACAAAACAGCCATGACTTAAAATTAACATTCAATTATATTACAAAAAATTGCAAATGCATCATATTATTTATCTTTTATTGCTACTGTTTTAATTTTTTACTTTTCCGGCTGTTATGTATATATGCATACATAACAAGGAAAAGTATTAGAATCAAATTTGACCCTCCAAATTTTTTCATATCTTTTGAGACCCCTAAATCTAAAAAAGTCAAAAAAACCGACAAAAAAGTCTGTGGATTGTTTGTGTGTTTGTGTTGGCGTCTATTTCGCTTAATTTAATATCTTCAGACTAAAGATTAAAACAAGAAATTTAGCAAGATAACTTGTATATGAGGGGCATTGATGCTATTAAATTTTGTTATAAGTCGAGAGGGTGTGGAAATAAAGGAAATCCTGTGTCATGTGTCATATGTGGAGTAGGATAGGAATTAACGCAGACTTTATTCATTATTAAGTAATTAACATTTACAATTTTTCATAAAACTCATTCCTACACTCAAAATTAAACTTTTTGCCATTTTATAATAAATAAATATATAAAAAGTGTTTTATAAAAAATTTAATAACAGATGAATCCACACACAATTTTATTTATTTTGCTTAATAATATGTTATTTTTTTAAATAAAAACTAATAGCAGCCTAGAATGTTACGCAACCGTTGCTGGCTTTTTTTACATTTTAAAATTATCATATTCATTATAAGAATATTACAATATTAACTTTAAAAAGAATTCAGGTTTCTTTATTCCTTTTCTCATTTACATTAAATAATTAAGAATGTTCAACAATAGGGTTTTGTCTTGTACTTTCCAGAATGATATATACACATAATAATTGAAGTATTGTATCAAATTTGACTCTACGAGTATTTTTCCCTCAAATCTACGCGTTTTGACACTCCCTGAACTCAAAACACGGCAACAAAATCCTGTGTGTGTATATGTTCGTTGTATGGTGACGTCACGTGTCATATTTTGGGTGGGTCGGACTTAAAGAAGATTTTACATGTTTAACATTTACAGTTTCTTTTTAAATGAAAGTCATCTTTACCCCCAAAATTGAGCCTTTTGCCATTTTATAACGATTAAAAAATATAGAAAATTTTTATAACAAAATTTTATAGCACTTAGCGCCACGCACAGTTTTATTTATATATTGTGATTAACAATACGAAAATTACTTTATAAATAAAATCTCTGATAACAACAGAGAAAGTCACGCAACTAATTGATAGATTTTTTATTTTTATATTTGTAAATTTCAAATCATAAGAAAGTATAAATTCTTCATTGATAAATTATTGGTATATATTGAGTTGAATGCGTGTTCACATTACATTGCAGTAGATTTTTTAATATTATTTAGATAAATATTAGTATTTTTGAACAGAATTTGACTGTAAGTTCGATTGGAGGTACGCCGTAAAACATGAAATATTTTTTCATTTTTCAATGAAATTAAAATGATCATCGTTTACTTTAATTTTTTTTAAAAACTCANTAAAATTATCATATTCATTATAAGAATATTACAATATTAACTTTAAAAAGAATTCAGGTTTCTTTATTCCTTTTCTCATTTACATTAAATAATTAAGAATGTTCAACAATAGGGTTTTGTCTTGTACTTTCCAGAATGATATATACACGTAATAATTGAAGTATTGTATCAAATTTGAATCTACGAGTATTTTTCCCTCAAATCTACGCGTTTTGACACTCCCTGAACTCAAAACACGGCAACAAAATCCTGTGTGTGTATATGTTCGTTGTATGGTGACGTCACGTGTCATATTTTGGGTGGGTCGGACTTAAAGAAGATTTTACATGTTTAACATTTACAGTTTCTTTTTAAATGAAAGTCATCTTTACCCCCAAAATTGAGCCTTTTGCCATTTTATAACGATTAAAAAATATAGAAAATTTTTATAACAAAATTTTATAGCACTTAGCGCCACGCACAGTTTTATTTATATATTGTGATTAACAATACGAAAATTACTTTATAAATAAAATCTCTGATAACAACAGAGAAAGTCACGCAACTAATTGATAGATTTTTTATTTTTATATTTGTAAATTTCAAATCATAAGAAAGTATAAATTCTTCATTGATAAATTATTGGTATATATTGAGTTGAATGCGTGTTCACATTACATTGCAGTAGATTTTTTAATATTATTTAGATAAATATTAGTATTTTTGAACAGAATTTGACTGTAAGTTCGATTGGAGGTACGCCGTAAAACATGAAATATTTTTTCATTTTTCAATGAAATTAAAATGATCATCGTTTACTTTAATTTTTTTTAAAAACTCANACATGTAATTCAGATAAAACGGAAAAATCAATGATCTTATAGGGGGGTCGACTGTAGATAAGTGTAAGCCGAGACCAGATTTGGAAACCCTGTGGCCCCGATATATGAAGATCTGATGCAAACCGGAAGTCACGTTATTTCAATTCAAAAATTTTCCCCTGAAAGCTGTTAGATAGATGACCAGCACGACTCTATTGTTAAAGGAAACGTATGATGTACATATATTTAAATGAAATAAATTAAAAATATGATTAAAAATTACAGCCAAGCATTGTGACCTACCAAAAATAACGAGCAATTATTTATTATGGCAATATCACAATAAATAATTGTTCGTTATTTTTAGTTTTAATTAACTGATTACCTGGTATTAATAAATATTACATATTAATATTATAATATATAGTATTATTGTATATTAATAAATTTTTGTTATTCAATTTGGGTTAACACTTTAAACACGGATTCGTGGATGTCTTTTATATTATGTGAATGTTAATTAACGCGGTTTTTATTAATTAATTTGTATTTAAATTCAACTATGGTGAGTACCGATCAACTTTCTTTAACACAGGAAGTATAGGGAGTTGATCATGTGTGTGTCTCTCAATCTGCGGCCTGTATTGCCGATTAGTTTGTTCGGCAATCGAGTTATCGTGTGGCAACCGGGGCAAATATGGGTTCAAAATATTGTTCGTAAACCCGAACTGCTCGATAACCGAGATGTTTGAAACCCGAAGTTTGACTGTATAAACTAATTCTAAAATAAAAATATTATTCTTACATTACACCTGGATTGTGTATTCTTAAAATTTCATTTAATACTGCATCAAGATAAGACATTTTAGCGACAATATCGAAATCCACGTCACCCTGAAATTTATAATTTAATTAACTTTTCATATAAAAATAAAAGGCAGTAAGAAATGTTATATTGGTAGATATTATTATTGTTTTATTTCTATACATTAAATTAACTATTTTCTCTTTGCCCGCCGGATAGGCGAAGAGGATCAGTTACTTTACTGCTCTGGAGATCAGATTAAATGCGGACAGGTCTATAAACGCGCCCGAATTTGATAGAATGATGTCTTTCCCGGGTAATTAGGATCCCTTCCATCATTCCCAGCTGCCTCATTGTGCACCTGGCCGAACCCAATTTGGAGTTGATAAAAGGCCCTCTTAGATACCTAGGGTAACATTAATGCTTTATTTAAATAATCGAATATCGAAAAAGAACAGGTACAGTATAGCCGCAGATTATGGATAGTCGATAGCCATCGTTTAGAAGTGTTGTAGCACTCTCACCAGAAACAGAACCATGCATTTCTTTGGAGAGTTCATTCAGTGAAGATCATAGACGATTACATTTGACTAGATATATGTACTCCTTTGTCTTCTATTTTTATTAGTAATTAATAAATAAATAAGTTTTCAAGTGTATAAAGTAGGTACATATTTTCTGTCAATAAGCTGTAGGTAGAAGATATTGTTAATTAATACGAATGACATTGACTTTAGCTTTTACAACACTTCAACTTTTACAACAATGGTTCAAAGTTCCATAACAAACAATTATCCGTTTCAAATTTAGATTACTAAATAAACCTTATCAAGTCTTATATCCTAGAGAACTTTCAGCATTTAAACATGTAAAATCTTATATTAATCAAATTGAATAATTTTATAATAGAGTTTAATTCACGTAATTGACTAGTAAAATCTGACTTCTTGATTTTAAAATTACTCTTCATAAAATTATAATAAATTTTTATTATTTAATTTGACTTAATTTAAGCACCTTTAAAGATGAATATTTGGATGCCATTTATATTATGTGAATGTTAATTAACGCGGTTTTTATTAATTAATTTGTATTTAAATTCAACTATGGTGAGTACCGATCAACTTTCTTTAACACAGGAAGTATAGGGAGTTGAGCATGTGTGTGTCTCTCAATCTGCGGCCTGTATTGCCGATTAGTTTGTTCGGCAATCGAGTTATCGTGTGGCAACCGGGGCAAATATGGGTTCAAAATATTGTTCGTAAACCCGAACTGCTCGATAACCGAGATGTTTGAAACCCGAAGTTTGACTGTATAAACTAATTCTAAAATAAAAATATTATTCTTACATTACACCTGGATTGTGTATTCTTAAAATTTCATTTAATACTGCATCAAGATAAGACATTTTAGCGACAATATCGAAATCCACGTCACCCTGAAATTTATAATTTAATTAACTTTTCATATAAAAATAAAAGGCAGTAAGAAATGTTATATTGGTAGATATTATTATGCAAATTAGTAAATTAGTAATTAGCAATAATTCCTCCTCCGAGACAAGTATAAAAAGGGGTCGAACTTGCACCATCGGGCGGACAGCCGAAGGTAGCCTGGGAGCGGACAGCTGAAGAGGACACCCTCAGCGGACATCTCCATGCAGACCTCTACAGTCGGAGATCAACGGAGCGTACCCCCACATCGGACATAGCCGAGCGGATATCAAGGGTAATCAGCTACATACCGCCATACCTTCCGTTGCTCTATACCGCCATCCAAAGGAAACCACAATTAAGAACCTCCGATTCCAGTGCGTCCTACTAACGCCTAATACGACGAGATCGAATCCTACGAGGTAAACCCTTGACCAAATTTTCTCTCTCTCTCCAACACGTCCCTCTTAGAGAGGTCTCTCTCGTTCTTAGTTTAGGATAGAACGTAGATCTAGAATAGATTCCTTTTATTTATACGTGTGTCATTTCTGGTTTTGCCTTCGATATGTATAATCTCTTAGTTGTTTATTAAATGTGTTATTGCTGTTTAACCTGTGTATTTATTCGGGAATCTGTCGACTTACTCACGGACTCATATCATTTTAGCCCTCCTATATAGCCATATCTGACAAGAGCCGCCGGTAAGAGGGGTGGAGCCTGAACTCCCCTCGGTTCTCACACTATCATCCTAAGACCGACTACTATAGAGTACTGTATATAGTGTCGGTTATCTGGTCATTAATCTGTGAATACTGTATAGGCAGAGTAGGCTAAACGACATTCTATCAGTTTTATTAAACCAAATAAATGTAATAAATTTAAAATTAAAGATATTTATAATATAACGAAATTTGCCATATTATAAATATCCTTTAATTTTCGTGTTGCGAAACTACATGATTCATCCATTTAATAGACTTAAATTACAAATAACTTGACCTAATCAATGAATAATGCGTATCTTTTAAATAAACAGTTACTTTACCTTTCTATTCCTAGAAAATTTAAATTTGAAGTTCTAAATTTATTTGAAGAAACGCTTTTATAGTTGAGTCGGTTAAATAATTAGTTTTAATTTAGAATTAAATTAATGAAACAAAGAACATATTTAAAATCTATGTAGTTAAAAAAAATAAGAAAAAGTATGTTTACATGTTTTTCCCATGTTTCATCTATTTCCTTCAACAATTTCTCTTGGAATTCTGGATTTAATGCCATTTCATAGCAGAAGTATGTCAATGTTATTGTTGTTTGGTCGTGGCCAGCGATAATAAAAAGAACACTCTGAGCAACAATTTCGTCGAGTGTCATTGCTAAAACACAATACATTAAAAATATTAATGAAATAAATCACAAACAAGAATTCATGTAAGATAAAGAAAAGAAAAGCAATACTTTTGTGTTTAGGTTGAACTTTGTAATTATTTATTTCATTGTCTACTTCTTTCAAGTCTTCGGCAGTGTTTTCAAGTACTCCTTCTTGAGCGTCCATCATTAATTGAAGAAAATCGTTTCCTTTCTATACAAGATATTAAATGTTTCAATTTATTCTCTAACCAATATCAAACAAATAAGTATTTTACTTCAGAATGATTTTACTGTATTACCCAAATGATTTACAATTTAAACATTTTAATTAAGTATTCAATAAATCAATTTATAGTCAATGTAAAACTAAAATGCTAAATGTTTGAATTAAAGCAACTTTATCTGTAAATGTGTTCTTGCAAAGTGTATTAATTCTTTGTTAATATTTTACATTCATTTATAAATCATAATTTGTAGACTACTTTATTTTATTTATATGGAAATGTGAAATATAAGTACATTTATGTTTACACTTGATCACATATGTAGCTATAATATATACCGTAATATAAATAAGTTAATTCTTTCACTTACAGGACAAAATGTTCACTAAAGAAGTGAACATTTTGTTCTGTAACCCTTGCTGTGCAAATGTCATGTGCAGATGAACGAATTCATATGTTACGTAACTTAATGCAAATTAATAAATTCTGCAGAACAACAAATAGTACGTGCAAAAAATTAAATTAAACATATAGAAAACGAAATTCAAAATACTTGGTAAATGCCAATGTACAGTACAGTACATATATCATGTTTATGTGTTAATAAAGAACATTGTGCAATAAGCTCTTAACATATAAACTACCGCCTCGGAATACACGCGTTGCAAATTTATCAGTAAATGCTTAATAGGTCAGAAATTGTAAAATTAGTAGTAGAGAAAATACAAAAGTTTACGAGCAATTGCAGGGAAACTTTTGCAAAAGAAAACATAACGCGAGAATATGATTATAGTAGATAAATTATTATATCAAGTAGCAAGTACGCTCGACGTTGTCCGGGTAAAGACTAAGTACGAACATTAAAATTATTATATTAGTTCGTACTTCTATCCCTTCTATTACATTATAACTTATTATAGAATTTGGTACACATACGTAACGGTTTTCAGCACCAAGTGACCAATCTGAGACATTTTAAAAATTCTTTAAATTGTGTACAGTACAGGAATAAAGAATTTTTAAAATGTGTTATACTCGTCACTTGGTATGATAAACCCTTACATAAGATAACCTTTGTAGTTATATAAATCAAATACTATTATATAACAAATATTAAAACGAAAACCACATAAAAAGTTTGGTTATTTTAGTCTACCAGGAATAGTATGAGATAGCCTACAGGAAAAAAAAAAACACTACTACCAATACACGAAGGTAAGTGCTGTGTGCTATCAAGTAATGACATAATGGCATGATTATTTAGCGCTATATAATTGTCTCAATGATTAAGTAAATATAATATAGGTGAGACCGGGGCAAGATCGGCATGTTAAGCTTTACTTAAATTTTATGTAATAAATACTGCTGTAAACTGAAAAAAAAGCTTTGCATATTGTCTATTGGAATGTTACCTTACTATAGAACTGGTTAAAATCAGTTTGGAAATAAAAATAATTAAAATAATTACAACTTTACAAGAAGAGAGAAATTGACGAAGTTGCCCCGGGTATAGGGGCAAGATCGGCAACTTCTCTCTTTTTGTAAAGTTGTAATTATTTTAATTATTTTTATTAAAGTTGCCCCTGGTATAGGGGCAACAGTAATGGGGCAAGATAGGCACGTATATAAAATTATGTTATTAACAATGTATAAGTTGGAATTCACTATTAAAACAAAGAAATACAAATCCAACACCCATTTAATATTATTACAACGAAATGCAAGTTCAAAGACATATATACATGAATAACAAATGCAAACATGTTTTCATTTATCATCTGTTTGATTTTTATCCTTTGCTTCTAATGTGGCTTTATGTTGCCGATCTTACCCCGCTAGTCATGATTTCGAAACATTAAGTACAACCCTGAGAACAGAATGCCAAGCCACGATCTGGCCACGTGAATAAGTTGAAGTTACATCCTTCTAACAGGAAAAGTAACTTTCGTTATCATGGAATTATAACAAAACCTGCCAATTCAATATAAATGGAAAAAAAATATTATATGGAATTGAACGAAAATGAAAATTTGCTTGATAATTCAACTACGCTTGTTGGAGAACAATAAAAACACTACACTCAACAAGCCACCAATAAAACTCAACTGCCTAACCTATAACCAAAGTCTCCTTTTAATTTGTTTTTAAAAAAAAGCGCTTGACAAACTTGCCCCGTATGCCGAAGTTGCCCCGGTCTCCCCTATATTTTTAAAAATTATATCCTGTTTTGTAAAAATTATATTTAGTTTATTATTTTGTTAAATTTTTGCCAATAGATAGTGCTACATGTATAGACAGAAAATCGAATGTAGATAGATATTAACTAATTTATAGAAATCGAATCGATATTTTGGTGTGCCATGTTTGGAATTATCTGACTTAGAAGTACGTGAACATAACTGCCGACTTTCGTAGCAATTAGTCGAATGACCTAGGAGTGTATAGCAACGAAACAAACAAACAATCATCCTCATTTATATATGAGCTAAAGTCAAATAGATTTATTCCACATTTCGAATTTTTTTAAATTTTAATGTGTAAGCACTTGATATGCTCAACTTTTTACATTCAATAAGTTTCCCTAATAATAAGGATCAATGTCCCTTAATGACAAAATTTCATTGGCCATCGAAAAAAATTTTATTTATTTCAGAAGCGGATCTGTCAGCTCACACTGCGATTGCAATGCTGCAGTGTGCGCTGACCAGTGCTTTATAGATAACGATAAATTATTTAATGTTATCTCATTACAAAACGTAAGTAAAGAAATTAGTTAGGTAGGCTACAGTCCAACTGCCACAGAAGTAAGTATACTTGTGGAATATCGTACGATTGTTTTAATTTTGGTGACAATTGTTTTTCGAAAAAAGAAAAGTTATACCCTTTATATCAAGATGGATGAAACTAAAAATAATTTTTTTCATTCCACCTATTAAGCACGATTGTTATAAAAATTTAAGAACAAGACATGACGGGACTCAAATACAACTGACGAAGAAGATATCATTTATGCTGCTGAATAATCAATTTAAACAAATGTTTATATTTTGTTTAAATTAACTATACTGTTACTGTTAACCATTGTAACAGTAACAGTAGGGTCATTATTCATTTTTGCAAAAAATCTTTAATAAAAAATGTACGCTAATGTGAAGACTGGATTTGATGTTATTACGTTTTTCACTTGCCAAATCGATTAACTCCCACAATCACACCAAAATCGTAATAATAATAACGACTATAGCATATCTATGATATCTTGTACATTTTATATGTCGTTAAATAAAAGCTACATCTACAATAATACATTCTACAATGTTTATTTGAATTTATATTTTACAAGGAATTTAAAAAAAAAAAGTATATTACTTTGTCACTTTTTTCCACTTTTTGCTTTATAGAGTTAATCGATTTGGCAAGTGAGCAGCACATTTATAGATTAAGACAATTAATTTAATATTAACGCAGGTTGGGATAAATATCAATTTAAAACATATTTATTCTAATAAAATTAACGTAAAATTACAGCAAAGTTTATACCAATTTCAAAGGTTAAAACAGTAAAAGAATATAAATTAAATCCTGTTTTGCATATTTTACGTATTTTAAGGAGATTTAAAATACTGTACGTAAAAATCTTGGCAAATCAACAAAACCGAAATCTTCAATCAAAAATTCCTTGTTAATTAAACTGTTTTAGAAAGTGTTTTAAAATGTAGTGCACATTGAAGAAAAGGCATTTTAAAATATGTAGGGTAAAACCAGTAGCGTAGCGTAATGGGGCGGCAGGGGCGGCACTGTTTAGGGAGCGGCAAAATTACCTTTTAGGGGGCGGCAAAATTTCACAATAAATAATAATAATATCTTGTAAAAATTTGAACCATCCTATTCTATATTTGCATCGCGCCTACGATAGTGCTATCATCCGGACAGTCCGGGAATCGACTCACCGTCCGGGTGAACTAGTAATTTCATCCCGGGATATCCTGCGCTACCTGTTGACCCATTCGTATTCATATACACCTCCAATATACAATAAAGCTATTTTAAACAGGTCTCTGCACTAGCACAGAATTTTTCATTGCTTATTCTGTGACGAAACTGAATTTTAGTCTTTTAAATTGAGATAGTCTACCTAAATAAGGAGGCGCGAAATTTTCCTCCGCTCCGGGCGGCTGACACCCACGCTACGCCACTGGGTAAAACGATGCAAAATTTTTTTAACCAATAAATAATGTTTACATTATATAAGAAATGATAAACATCTTTTATAAAATTTATGTTTAAATATTTTGCAATACATGTTAATTGTTCTTACAACTTTCTTTTGTTTTCTCTCTTCCAAGATTTTCAAAACGACGTTCCTGAAGTATTCTAGTACTTTTCTCGGGAAAAATTCCAATTTTAAGTAGCGAATAAGTTTCGGTGCAACGAAAACTATTAAATAAAAATTATATTTATGAGAGAAACCTGATTATTTTTAAAGAGTAAAATATACATACGTAATTGCATAATCGAAGTTTTATTTATAACAGTAAAAAAAATAGGCCTACTTACACGCAAAAAGCGTTAGTTTTGATAAATTTCTATTTGAAACCATTCGAGCATTCTTCACAAATTCGCTGTTTTGATTTTCCTGTGCATTCACTTTCGTAGCAAACGCAGTTGATGCAATGACGTCAATAGTAAATGCACTTATTAACCTTTAAAAGATTTAATAATTATCATGTAATCAGTGAATTTTACAAAAAGTTTATTGTATTATACAATAAACTTTTTTTGTGATATTATTTTTTAGTTTTACTTATGAAATTGCCGTATTTCTCCGTGGCTTTTCTTAGCTATATGCGTTTGATATTCTATATTACAATTAAACTGCAATTCTAAAAACAAATCTCGGTTTTTGACACAGCGTGTATTTCTTACACGCATTGTTTGGTTCGTTTATGTCGTAAAAGCGAAATCGTTTGTATTTATTATAGCATTGATTATTTTTAGTTCAAAATTTATGAAATGACTTTAAAACATTTTAATTAATTATAAATACAAATCTAGTTATTTTATCGATTCTAATACGCCATTGCTTGTAAAATACAATTTAAGAGAAACAATGCAAGAAAGTTCTACCGGGTGTCCACAAAGTCTGGGTACATAAAGATTAACACATACTTTTAAACAAAATAATTTTATTTGATTCTAATACAGTCGACCCCCCTATAACACTGTTGATTATTCCGCTTTATATGAATTCCATGTTGTACGAGTCACTTAGATTTTACAAATACGTGAGCTGTTCACTGCCCAGCACACGTATTATACGTGTGCCGGGCAGTGAACAGCTCACGTATAACGATAAAACGGAATTATCAACAGTATTATAGGGGGGGTCGACTGGTATAAATGACATTTTCAATATGATTTCCATCATTTTCAATACATAATTTGATGTGCCTCGCGAAATTCAGGTGAACTCGATTAAATAGGTCTGTATTGCCGTCGATTTCAGCACACTGACTGGTAATGGTGTCCACAAGTTATGGCGCATCAAATTATGTATTGAAAATGATGGAAATCATATTGAAAATGTTATTTATTAATATTAGAATCAAATCAAATTATTTTGTTTTAAAAGTATGTGTTAATCCTTATATACCCAGACTTTGTGGACACCCTGTATAATCTACGAGATGGACGGCCGGACAGTAAAAAAGTCCAGGAATTTTTCTGTGGTATCTGTTTCTACATGATAATAAATTTATCAATTTTATTCGTACCGTTATCAGAAACTTTTACTTTAAATGAAATACAGTACTTTAAGCAAGTTAAAGAAAAATGACGGAGTGTAGCTGTCTAATAACAGTTTGTGTTCGCACCACCATGCGAATTTTCATTACATTTTCAGAGTAGCGTTTGTAATATTGGTTACTATACATGAAACTTGACTCTTGTCATTCACGGCGAGAACATCTTTTGGAAAATGGCGATTGACAGTGCGAACGAGCTGCCATCTTCGGTAGATTTTTCGTTACTATTCTAAAACTGATCATAAAGCGAATACAATTAGAAGTCAAACAAAGCAAATTCACGAACGTCCCAAACAGTGAGAAAATGTACGCATTGTTGGGAAAACATCTCTACGTTAAAGAGTAGTGTCACTCTCTGCTCTCACGTTTTGTCAGGAGGGTACGAGAGGATGGAGCCGCATGCGGTTAGTGATGGCAGACACAAAGACTTACACCGTTTACAAATTAGAATCGCGTTTATTGTAATATAATATGCTTACATCCGACAATCACTTTAAGACAGTTCTGGATGAAAAGAGTCCGAACTCCGACTCGGTCTTGGGAAATGGGTGTTAGAAGACAGTGGATCTTCGGATATGCCGATCTCACAAAACAGATGTTTTCACCTTCTAAAGCACCGCTGAAGGAGTTATGTAGAAGTGCGAGCAAGTCGGGTTGCTTCGTCGACCCTTCTCGAAAACAGTAGAGTTTTTGGTGAATACAGCACTATTGGGTTTTCTTGCTGTGAAAAGACTGTTCATCTTTTTAATGGAAAAAGACTCGTGGTTCTGTGGTCAATCTCTTGGTAAGGAAATGACCTCAGAAAAGCGGTCATTTTCGGCAGTGTTGAACCGCAGAAAAGAACCCTGGATCCTTGAGACAAGAGTTTTTATATAATTTCTTTCCGAAATTTGCATTCTCATTGATTACGATCTTCCCTCTCTCCTCTCCCAATTGGTTCCTATTCTGTTGTCAGTGGCTGAATTTGGGTCTCTTCCAACATCCCGTGCTGAGTCCGACTTTTCCCGAAGTGTTTATTCACGACTTCCTCGGGGCCCGAAATTAAGAAAAATATTTTCTTTTTTGTTCGGATAGGATGCAGTCGACTAAAAGGTTTCACTCTGCTATTTGACGCAAGAAAGCACTTTCCACTGTTTTCCTTATGTATAATGGGGCGAGGTGCTCACCAGTGGGCAAGCGGTCTTCGTACCCTTAATACTGGGAGTTCGGTCGTGGGTTCGCGCCTCGCTCGGACGGGCTGGCCATGTGGAGTTTTCCGGGTTTTCTTCATGTCTGGAAAGCCTAAATAAGAGCCAGTTCAACAGGCGCCAAAAACGAACAAAACACAACAACAAGGCAATCGATGGCGATTGCTTTGTTCCTCGCCCCATTATTGTTTGTTAAGTTATGGTAACACAACACTTGGGCGATCTGCCTAGCGTTCAGTTCCCTTTAGGTTCTTTTTTTTTTACTCTAGGTCTAAATTCCGTTAGGCGTGCTTAGTCGCATCAGAACACAAACACGAAATCGAAAACGAAATCATGAACTCTCATTACATTTTTAATTCCTCATCGCAATTAATGGAAAATGGCGAAGTTTTATTAGAATAGACCTATTAATTTTGAGAACGAACTCAATTCTATAAGCCCATAGAAGACGTGCTAGCGACAATAGAACATCGCCGACTTTGTCGTGCGATTCGTGAGATATCGCTTTGTCGCGCGTGCTCAGGCTACGACCTTATATCCCGAAAACAATGTCATAGACCCCCATTTTTTATTACATTTCTGGATACGTTATCGCAATTAATGGAAAATGGTAATGTTTTATCAGAAACGATCGAATAGATTTTCAGAACGGACACAATTCTGTAAATCACATAGAAGAGGCTTCACGAACGCTCCGCCTCAATCAGGGAAGTTAATCCGCCCCTAAGCATTGAAGAAACAGATGAAGAAAACACATGGCTGACGGCGTTATCTTTTTTAGCCGTCTTCGGCAAAGAAGCGATAATTTCTAGCTAAAGGTATCAAAACAAACAATTAAAACAACATGGAATTCTAAAAAAAATTAAAGTAAATAATAATTAACAAAAACACTATGGTTAAAAGTAACAGCTTCGGATAACCAGTTCTGCCAGACTAGTACTATACGAAAACAATAATGGTTCGACATAAACTAGGTATTTTCTATGAAAAGGAAACTGAGCTCGGCGGCATAGATTTTTCTGTTTCGGCTTGACATAAAACACAAATGTGATGATGTGCTTCTAACATTTTGTCTAAAACAGTTTAAAATCGAGAAAAACGTCAAGAAACATTTGAAACATCCATACACCTATACGCAGCGGCGGCCTTATCCATTGCGAGGCTCTGGGCGGCAGATCTTTGCGAGGCCCTTGTCCTTTGTGCAAAGTATGTGAATTGAAATAGTAGGCACTTATTAATATTAATATATACTGTACTATAAATTAAATTTATTTTATTGTTATAACAAATAGCCAAGGATAAAATAAAAAGTTTTAAATATCAACTTTTTTCTACTTGGTTGTTGCACGAGGCCCCTCCAAGAGCGAGGCCCCGGGCGATTGCCCTGCTCGCCACCCCCTAACGCCGCCACTGCCTATACGTGCGGCTAGCATCCTAACAACTCCACCTGGACAACCGGTTAAGACATATGCAGCCGCATGACACATATGTGCCGATTTTTGAAAAGTTAGTTTCGTAATGACATCGTGCATGTTAAATGTTCGTGTAATGTAACGATCAAAATAAAATGTCATATAGATCAATGTAAATTGACAGCAAACGTAAACTCGATTGATATGTAGCTAGCGATGTTAGAGACTTAATCTAGTCACGTCTTCAATTATTTAATGAATTCGTTAACTGTTGAAATTAATAATATATTTAGGGTTATTAAAGCGAGGTGAATAAAATAAATTTATACTCTTTGCAATTAAAGTTGTCTCCTTTTTCGGCGTTTTCAATGAAACGTGCGGCAAATGGTTCTGCACATTGTTTAACTAAAGTTGCCATCTGAAAACAAAAATTTCAAATTTTTACAAATTATTTTCCATGTTTTAATAAATGAATTAATTATCACAGTTTACATCATATTAATTAATAAAAATTGCTTTTACTTTTCTCATTCTGCTACTGGTAAATGTCGGACTCATCAAATTTCTTACTCTTTTCCAATCTTCATCCATAAGTAAACTAACAAGATTGTTAAAAATTCTATCTCCAAAATCAAACTTCTATAAAAAGTAAAAAAGTTTTAATTATTTCCGATAAATCTGTTGAATGCATAACGATATGTATTCAAAGTTGCCTTATAAATACTTATCACACAATACTATTTCTAAAACATTTAATAAAAATTTAAGTTATTCACGATTTTTAAAAATACATCTTTAATAATTATAAACATACAAATTATTTTATAATTATCGAAACATCTTACCAGTCTATTACGAAAAGTTGGGAAGTCTTTTACAAGGATATATTTAATCAGTTCTGGTTTAGATATCCATAAATCGTGTGATGGCACGCATGTTCTAGAATCAGGATTTTGATGTGAGAAAAAATTTTAAAAAATTCATATAATGTGATAATTAAAAGAATAATAAATAGTTAATTACATTGTAGTGTTTTTCGAAATTTAACGTATATTAAACGAAAATAATGCCGAGTTTAATCTAATTCATTTAATTAGTTTAAAAACTTTTGTTAATTTATTATCTTACCAAACTTCGGAAAATATGTATATCATCTACATAATTCTTAATTTTAATGTATTATGTATTTTCAATAATTTTACTTAATTTTTTATTATATTTATATAATTTGTTGTTGTTAACTAACAATAATTATTGTTAATGTACTGTTCAGTTTTATGTTATTCATTAAAGAGTATTCATCAGTGTTCCTTTATTATCTCAACTTATAAACAAGTTACTGGCTGAAGTTATTGTATATAGAAAATTGCATTTCTAATAACGTAGATGTTGTAAAAATGTTTTAAAGCTTACATTTAGAATTTCTTATCGCCCAATTTAAGTGTTTTTATTTTTAATTCTAATAACATTGAGAATGTCGAAATCTGCATGTAGTGCACAGAGGAAAAATCCACATAAAAATCAAGGATTGTTTTAATTATTCTGTTCCAAATGACGTACAATTTCCTAGTCAACAATTAACTGAATTAATTCTCATTAGACTGTAGAAACTTCCTTAATAAAGCATTTAATTTTGTCTTCTTTTAATTAAAAAGTTTACCCGGTAGTACTTGTTGATTCTTTTGCCTGACTAATATGGAGGCTGTTTAAAAAAATGTTAAAATAGATGTTACGCTGTTTTATATATCTACACACATACTTTATGTCGATATTAGTATCGTGTATTAATATTGGACAATAAAGAAAATGTAATTTTATCTTGTCATACATATTGTCGGGGTGTAATATCATTGTTTGTTTTAAAATGTTTTTATACAATTGTTATAGAATATTCTAAACCTGCTGAAGAGGGAGCCTTCAGGCCGAAACACACAAAAAAGATTGTACAGGTGAAAATAAAGATATTTTGATTTTGACTAAAATTTCCTCCTTGCTAATCGGAAACTACACTAGTATAATAAGTATAATAAATCCTATTAATAAACAAGGTCCAAGTAGACAATATAGAAACAAAAAAGTAAATCAGTAATGATATTATTATTCTTTTACTTGTATGTACAGTAGAACCTCGATTATCCGGATTTTCGATTATCCGGATTGTTCAAAATAAACAAAAATTTTACGAATTTGCTGATTTGCACTTGGCTAATTACAACACTGTTTATGTACATGATGGAATGCATAACTTTTTTGTTTCAACAACGTCCCACCTAGCCCAGTGATCGTAAACTCAAATACATTTTACGTAGTAATAAAAATATAACTTGACATACGTATTTATAAATTAATTATATTCAAATTACATCATTTCTATGACCAAGGGCGGCGTAAGGCATGGACGACGTGGGTTATCGCCTATGCCTCGCAGTCCGAAGGGCCTCGCGCTTCGAAGGTTTATGCATTACTTAAAAGCCGCGAACGCGACGAAAAAATTTTATTCGTCATAAAACGATAAATAGTTTGTCAAATTTTTATTCATAAAAATGCAGTTTCAACTGTTTTTTTATTTTTAAAATCCGTCTTCTTGCGCCACCAGAAGGCCTTTTAAACAATAGGTAGTAAACAATAGGTAGTCTGTTAGCGTTGGTCAGTAGTAGTCCAAATTCAATACGAACGTTTGTTTCTTGAAAATTTGATCA